AAAAAAAAAAAAAAAAAAAAAAAAAAAAAAAAAAAAAAAAAAAAAAAAAGATTTTCCATGTCTGGATTTTTTTGCGTTATTTTCTTCTTTAAAACTAGACTGTATAGTATTCTAGTTTTAAAAAAACGAAAATCACAAAGTAGTCTATTTAGGATCACACTATATTTACAATTGGGGGCGTGCACGAATTTTCTCGCACGGTAGGTATGCTCGTTTTGAAGTTAAATGCGATGCTATCAACAACGCCTGCAAGGATGCAACAATTCGTGCTCGATGGATGTCTATATTGACTATCTTAAAAATTGAAGTCGCTTCGACTGCCGATGTTCATCACGCATTGAACCGATTTTTCTTCATCAACAACGCCTGCAAGGATGCAACAATTCGTGCTCGATGGATGTCTATATTGACTATCTTAAAAATTGAAGTCGCTTCGACTGCCGATGTTCATCACGCATTGAACCGATTTTTCTTCGTACTGAGAAAGCTGCGCGCTGCGTCGCTCGATTTGCGCCGTTGTTGCAACATTTCCGCTACCATTTCCCTTCCTTCTATTCTTCAAAGAAAATATATCAATTTGTCTATGATTCATCGGCTCTCAGTTTTTACTGGATGGTAAATTTCTAAAATTAGTACCATGATTACCGCACGCACTCTTGCTTGCATCTTATTCCTTCCCACAGAGATTATGCATAATATTTGCAAGAATCATTTTAGTAGTATCAAAAAGAATAACGAATTGGTCGTGTCAATATCACCCTTAGATCGTTGATTTTTTTTCTTTGTAAAATAAGATAACCTGCAACGCTGCAACCCAAGCAGCACAGATTGCAATACATTGTACATAGGGTGTCCCAAAACAACTGAGACCAAGTCTGTAATTCGGAAAGTATGATAGATATCGAAATGCGGTTTGTGAGAGGTTGTAGCCCAAACTATAAGCTATCAAACCTCAAAATTTGAGCTTATTCGGTTGAAAACTCACCGGGTTATAACATTTTTTCGGGGACGAGTTGAACAGAACCCTCCACTATTTTCGAGTAATATTTTTCATTTCGCGAACTGTTCGTGAGGTGCGCTGCAGATCGCGACGCTGTGGATCAGGTGGAGGTATGAAGTGGTCTCTGTTCTGGATGCAGGTTTTATCCTATTAACATGTGTTTTTATCGCAATCGTCCGCGGGAAAGCTCAGTGCAGCCGAAACCGTCAAGCGTAACCGAGTGTTTTCTCGCGAAGCGCAATGAGTTCGCCCGCTGAGTTGAAACAAGAACAACGGTATGCCATTCGCTATTGCGTCCGCCGTGGCCTTTCTGCCTTCGATACTTTAAATGAGCTGACAGTTGCTTATGGACTAAATCGACTTGGAAAAAGTACCATTCTTCGTTGGCATAAATGCTTTTCCGAGGGTCGAGAGTCGGCAGCTTGTTTCAACTCAGCGGGCGAACTCATTGCGCTTCGCGAGAAAACACTCGGTTACGCTTGACGGTTTCGGCTGCACTGAGCTTTCCCGCGGACGATTGCGATAAAAAAACATGTTAATAGGATAAAACCTGCATCCAGAACAGAGACCACTTCATACCTCCACCTGATCCACAGCGTCGCGATCTGCAGCGCACCTCACGAACAGTTCGCGAAATGAAAAATATTACTCGAAAATAGTGGAGGGTTCTGTTCAACTCGTCCCCGAAAAAATGTTATAACCCGGTGAGTTTTCAACCGAATAAGCTCAAATTTTGAGGTTTGATAGCTTATAGTTTGGGCTACAACCTCTCACAAACCGCATTTCGATATCTATCATACTTTCCGAATTACAGACTTGGTCTCAGTTGTTTTGGGACACCCTATGTAATTACAAAGTAAAAGTATTGCTGCTGCATCGGAGTGTGGTGTATATTGCCTATCTATTTTCTGAAGGGGCACCTCTTTTTGAAATTTATTGCAATAAAATTGGAATAAGTTGCAATGTTTCTTTGTATTGTAAATTGTATATTTTTCAGACACATGGAGCTCACTCGTTGATTAGGTAAAGCCGGCACAAAAGTTTGTATAAATATTACTATATTTTTGTAAAAAAAAAAATTTGCAATTTTACTGCATTTTTATTTCAGTATTTTCATTGAACTGTGCTACTTGCAAAATAAAAATAAGCACGTAATGCAGCCACCACCACACGCACTCTCTACATTAAAAATTATTTGTAAATGAAAGCGCACCTACAATAAATAACTAAATCAACAAATTGGGAGCAATTCGGTTCATTACACGATTTCGAATCTCACCATTTTCAACGGAACTCGGAAAATGTTCAGCTCACCTTTTTACAGGACCGAGGCGGTGAATATCACAGCACTATTTTTTTAAAAAATAATCTGTCAAAGACATTGTTTCTAGTCTCGAACGAAGTAATCGCGAGGTAATCCAAACATCAACCGAAAATTCGAAATTACTAATTTCACTTCCCGCAGCCCTCGATTTGCCTTCAAATGGAACATTGCAACAAGCATATCCCGAACGCGAGAAAAGTTGCATACAGCAGACGAAATTGCCTACCCTACGGCAAACCCGTGCCGATCGATACTGCCTCCGAACATGAATGGTTTCACTTACCCTCTCGTTTTTCAGCAGGCGAAAAATCAGAAACTCATTACGAGAGGCAAACAGTACACCATCAAGTAAGAAAAGGAAAGAAAAAACCCATTAAACTAAGCGTATAAGTGAGAGGAACTTTACTTACATTTATTTTCCCAATTTGCTGGCATCCGAGGATTCCTTCACTGTGCTGTTCAAATCTTATCAGTACCGCTGCCAACATCCGAACGCAAAATTATCCCGCTCATTTTCTGGGTTTGAACTTGAAGAGTAATCAAAATCTTTCCTCTTGTTCGTATTTTTGTTTTCGTGTTGGAGGAAAAAGCTGGATTCAATCAGCTTAAATAATATTCTAAATAGAGGGGCAAGGTATGGTAGAAATGAGCCTCTGTGACGCAAGATGCATGGTGGACTTTGAGTTATTGATTTTGCGCGTGGTTCGGAGGGTGGCAGCCCTGCGGCGCCCGTGCGCACACGTGAAGTCGGCGAGAGAGGTCCGAGAGGCGTCTACCCGTTGCCTGGCAACGGGTTGTTGGTACTCGATGCTTGAGGTGTTCGGGTTTTTTCAGCGATGTAAAGCTTTGATATTTGGATGAAAGGTTCCGGCATGCGACGTTATAAGCATAGAATTAATAGACTAACGTTCTATATTATAAGCAAGCAGACAGTATGTTGTCTCCCTCAAGAAAGAACGTAACTTCATTTCAATGTTGCCAAATTTCGCCTCGCAAATTGATCATAAACTAGGAGAATCCTGGGAACCCTTAACCGAAAATTTCACCGATTTTTTCTCGTATTTCATGCAAAAATCAGAAAACTTATGGATTAAAATTTCGAAGGCACGACTTAGTAAAATAAAATAATGGTTTGAGTCAATTTGGCAACCTTGGAATGGAGTTACGTTCTTTCGTGCAGGTGACGACGAGAAGACAGCTTCAACCGGAAGCATCCTGAATGCATTTTTTGTCCGCGCACCTTTTTTGTCCAGTAGTTTACGCCCACACGTAAAATAAGCAACGGTGACTTGGTCCAAGCGTTATATTTTAGTCGGTATGTAAATTTATATTGGCAATATGGAAATGAGAAATTGAGAGAGAAGGAGGTATTGTTATGGAGCAATAGTAACAGTTCAAAATTGCAATTTCACAACAGTTTTTACACTGTTACTTTTGTGTCTTTGGTGAATATTTGGTTTTATTTCTATCCTTAAAATATTCGATGTACAATACACCTTATATGTGTATAAGTACTTTTTTTTATTTTTTTAATTTTTTCTTTACGAAATTATTACTTCATTTTGAAAACATTTATATTTTTAAAACGTGACAAAATAATAAGCCGCAGTTGTGCCGACATAAACTGCAAAAATGATTAAAAGAGGGGGAAAAAACCAAGAGGCACGCAATCTTTAGTTTTAACCCATCTGTACATCGATCTTTTAGAGTCAAATACGTCAAATTTTGAGAGTTTGGTTGCGCGTACACCTCGCTGCAGCACGATAAAAGCACAAAATGTAAAAGAAAAAATTGAAGTGCTATGGAAATCATTAAATTTGACACGGAACCACCAATATTTAAAAAACACATTTTATATTATTATTATCCTTTGATAAATTGATACATATTGTTTTCTCATCAATTTAAATGAGAATAGTCAATGCAGAGTGTGCAAACATTTCAAAATCATGATTTAAAAAACGCTGACTATGCGAGTATAAATATTAAAGCGTAACAGAGCGGAGCGGCGTGCTGCCAGCGCGAGCGGCTCACTGGCGCCTACAAACCCAAGTGGATACTTCGCGCATTGCACAATGCTTGAAGTATCCACTTAGGTTTGTAGGCGCCAATGCCCCGTTTCGCGCTGGCCGCCCGCCCGCCATGCGGCGGGACTTGAAGCAACTATTTTACAACAGAGGTGTTGCGCAGTATTATACGAAATTGAACGTATTAAGAATGACAGGCATCCTTTAAAAGTACAGATCTTTCCTCGCAAAATAAATCAAGATACTTATCGTACGCTGGAAAAATCTAAGAGCCTTCAGCTGAGGCAAATATAGAGGTTTATCCGGTTCAGGTATAACAAGGTGGGAAAATCTTGAAAGATAATTAAGTCCTGTTACACCAAAGAGGTGTAGAGAGTTTCAGTGAATTTTGTCTCATGGAATTGACGCTTCCCCATTTTTACCAAAACTCTCAACTATATATTATTCTCCGATGGACCAAACGGACAAAACAAAAAACAAGCAAACCCTAATTCTTCCAAGACATTTTACATTTTCATCCAAAAACGTCGTGAGCAATTGTCGTTTGTATTTACGCGTGGGCCAATTAACTTTGAGTCTCAACTGGCATGTGGACCAAAACTCTCGTGCCGAAAAAACGCGTGGACGTAAATTAACGGAAAAACAGATGCGCGGACAAAAAATCGTTGAGGAAATTTCCTATAACCTTCCGATGTTGTGAAATTTCCTTTTTTGCTTTGTTTGTCGATTAAAGAATAACAAGTTTATAGTGTCTTAAAATTTTGTCGGTATACCTATAAAATGTATACAGTAAACAGTAAACATTTTGCAAAAATAATGTCCGTCGGTTTTTAAAATCATGAATAGAAATCTGCAACATCACAAAAATTGAGATACTTGTTTTGTGACTTTCTCAGTTGATTTATTCATACGGAAAATGCAGCTCTTTAGTCGAAACGAATGCAGATTTAGGAAAGAAACTAAGTTCGCCTTCAACTGGTGAGTAGGTATGCAGTTTGAGCGAACCGAGAGTTAAAATAGTCGTATCTTGTAGTTTGATCTTTCGGCGCAAATCGAACGGAGAGAGATGTGAGCGCAGAGCCGATTTGTCGGTTATGAAGTACGTTTCATCTTTTTTGAGGAAAAAAATGGTCATAATTGATAAATACATTTAATTGACATGAATTTGGATTAAGGAATATAGGTTTGAAGTTTCATCCCTGTTCAAGGTAGAATGTCAAGAAGTACTTAATTGTTCGTCAAATTTCACCATGCTCCATTTTTTGAATGGAATCCACATTTAAGTTTCTAGAGAATTTGCTGAAAAAAGGAAAGATTAAAACAGTGCCGTTAAGTTGATTTTTTCAGAGTGTCAGTTGGTTATTTTTTGCTAAACGGTGTAAAAAATGCCCCATGTACTTCTCAGTTGTTCCGGTTGAATCTGTCCAGTGTCCTGATCATTAAAATATGCTTTTTATTCTTGTTCATTAGAGATTACTTGCCGCTTATTAGATCAACAAATATCGATAGGTACAGTGCAAAACCGCGTATCGTCATTGTGCTGTTTTAATATTTCTGCTCCTATTTTGATTTTTTCGAGGAGAAATAAGCCAACTTTATGGCTTAAAATTTTTAGGAATATTCTGCTAATAGAATAAAAAAATCAAGAAAATCTCGAGAAATTGCGTTAACTAGTTTTTCAAAGAAGAAAACATCAAACACACTAGACCATCAAACACACCGAACACATCAAACAGACCAAACACAAAAACATATCAAACACACTAAACACATCAAGGCCTTTTTTGTGTGCACGTTCGTGTCAATTTGCATTCTCATTGGTCCTTTCATTACCCAATCAGAAAACGTCATTGAAAATTCTCGGTTAATGAATAGGTATACATCCCGTTTATCCATGTCTATCCTGTTATATTTCGAACGATATATCGAAGGTAGATAAACAAAAATCAATAAATCGAAGGGTGGGATATATTCAGTTTTATTCCTACCTATCCTATTTTATCCTCCCTTTTATCCCGGTTTTTAATCACAGAAAGTCCGCAACGTTGTAAACGAAGGTACGTGGTTTTCGCATTTTGGCCATCTACGAGTATATTCCAGATTAGCAAAAAAAAAAAAGGTTTTACTGGGGAGCGGCTCCAAGGCTGTTTGTAGGTTATATAGAGGTCAAATATTTAGTTTGTCTTCTTTTTCAATGAAAGCGCTGATCATTTTATGTAGAACCAACACTTTGCCGTCATCCAGTTCTTGAAGCACGTTGTCCTTCCTCATGACGTCCACGCACTCCTCTAGATACTGCTCTTTCAAATCCGCGGGAATTTTTGAAAAATGTTTATCCATGGACTCTACTAAATCTGCAAAAGTTGCAAAAAAAGTCTCATTTAAATACATATATCTTCACGGAACACGGTAGGCTATTTAGAGTAAATACGTGTTTAAAGTTTACGACGTTCAATATTGATTCATAATAATGGAGAGTACTGCTGTTTAGTCCAAAGGAGTACAGATTCTAGGTAGAAACTCAGTCCGCCTTCAACTCAGAGGGTATGCAATTTGTGCGACCCAGAAGTTGATATAGTTGTATCACATAGTTTGATCTTCCAGTGCATATGTATACCTACATTAGACTCCCAAAAATTAATTAGTTGCGACGTCCAAGACTTCCTGTCATACTTTATTTTTTAAACGGAAAACTACTCAACGGAAATTCTTTAAAACTGCCGTGATTTTTCTTCTCTGTGCAAAGAAAATTCTGCAAAAACTTCAAGGGATGATGTCAATTTTTTCTCATTGAAAAAAATAACATAGAGGCGGAGATTTTCAGAAACCGCAAACGAGATATGTGATTGCAGACTTACACCGTTGAAATGTTTTAATTCACGTGGACCTACGCAACGGCTGTTAAAATTTGGTTTTAAAAACTCTTTAGAGAACTATTAAAATTATCGAAGAGGGAAACTCATTTTTGAGCTTTTTTAGGTAGAATTTAATTAAATAAGTGTAAACAACTCTTTTAAAAAATGTGATTTTGAAAACAATTTTCAAAGTAAAATTTACTTTTAGTAAAATAGTATTTAAAAACTAATGCACTATTTTAAAAAGGTTTTCAAGAGTTTTTTTTAAAACAATTCTTGTACTGAAATTTGACCTCTCGTAAATTTTACGTAAAAGAAATTCCGAAAAGGGTTTCTTTCCTCGTAAATTCTAACAATTTTTCTAGGAGAATTTAAATTAAAATTTACAAGATTTTTAAGAGATTTTATGCAGTTCCTGCTACTAGGGTTTCTTAGGGGTATAAAAGGGCTATTTGGTAAAGCTATTATTTCAGTTTCTTCAAGAAAGAGCAACTTATATACCCTTTTGAACAAGGTGGAGAAATGGTGCTGGGTCCACACCATTTCGCGGGGAAACAAAGCCAAGAATTACCAAAAATTAAAAATAGAGTCAAAAATAAATTTTTAAAACTAAACTAAATTTTTACTGGTGCGCATTAGAGTTTTAAAAATTTATTTTTGACTCTAATTTTAATTTTTGGTAATTCTTGGCTTTGTTTCCCCGCGAAATGGTGTGGACCCAGCACCATTTCTCCACCTTGTTACATACAGTTTCGGGCCACTTTTTAGTGTTTAATTTTTTCATACCCTTTTGATACACTATACTTCAGATGAGAAAAAAAACTCTTCCCCCTCAGTTTCGTACTGGTACGCATTAGAGTTCAAAAAGTCTAATTTTGACTCTAATTTTAATTTGTAGAAATTCTTGGCTTTGTTTTCCCCGCAAAATGGTGTGGACCCAGCACCATTTCTCCGCCTTGTTTAGATGAAAAGTGATACCTCTAATTTGATTTTGTAACACTCACTTTTCCATCCGTTTAAGTTGTTAAATTCGTAGTCAGTCGTAACGAATTTGCAGGTGATCACTTTAAATCCTACTTCTTTCAGGACTCCTTCAAATTCCCCCGCAGGGTCCTTGCCAAAGGATGGTGACATCTCCCTCTCAAGACCCTGAAACAGAAACGGTTTGAAAGTACACATAAAATACACTTCAGGAAAAAAAGTCGTCCATCATGCAGTTTCGACTGGAGATAATGTGAACGGATTTTTTCAAGATACACGCAGCAAAGACGTACAATTCACCTGGGATGAAAGGTGAAATAAGGGGTCTGGAGGACAAGGCGCATATGTGTGCAGTTTTTGCTATTTCGAGAAATATGTATTTAAAATTTCAAAATTGCATCGAGCTTATGGCGGAAAGGAAGTTTTAACTCACTTTTTGATGTTTTAAAGTCGGATTTTAGTTGTGAATTTTTGCAGAATATACACTCAAATTAGTTTTAGTTGAGTTTATGAATATCTCGGTTTCTTCGAAAACTGCATGTATACGCTTTTTCCTCCAAGTCTCTCAAATCATGAAACCGCGTGACTCGGTTTTCGAAGTCGCAAATATCCTGTGTCATTCTTTAGTCTTAAAAATGATGACTGGTCATATTTTTTGCTCAAAATGGACCACTAGACAAGGTACGGATTTTAGCATTCTGATACATGTTTCTTAACCAAAATTTCACGTAAAACACGATGCGCACAACGAAAATTACCTAAATTAACTCCTTACGAAGATATTTAATGATTCCTGATGCGTAAATTCAAACCACCCGCGCATGAAAACTCAATGCTCTACGTAATTCGCATCGCGCGCTAAACGTTATCATGACAGTATCTGCGATTTAAAAATCTGGCAACCTCAATTTTGACGCTTTGGCTCAGCTATAGCAAATTGCTTATAGTTTGAACAACTCATGGTGGGAAATGAACATTGCTCGTTTGAGAAGCTTGCTGAAGCCGTTGTAGTGCGCTATTTGACTCACGTAGAGCTTTGAGTTTCTTGTGAGCGTACAGTTCAAATTCCTCGCAACCAATGTGAAATAAAAACGTTAATATCTTCGTTAGGAGTTGGTTTCATTAGTTTTTGTCGTGCGAATCGTGTTCTACGTAAAATTCTGGTTAAGAAACATGTATCAGATTGCTTAAATTCGTACCTTGTCTATATAGTGGTCCATTGCGTGAATTTCTTCTAAAAATTATTTCCTTAAAACTCCTCATTTAGACACTGAGAAAAATCGAGATCCTCGTTCCAAGTTTCCTTCGACAGTTTGTTTTTGCGCCAGGAAAATTACTCGTTGCTTCATAGCAACAATCCATTAAGTATTTTGGAGGAAAATTCTAGTATTGATGACAAAATTTAGGCGTCGGGATGCAAAATTTCTGTCAAATCCAGTTTTGCTCTGTAACATTTCATTCGCGTTTGAACGAGATTATTTTCGTATACAATGCAAATTCTAGGGAGAAACTCGGTCCGCCTTCAACTCAGTGGGTATGCAATTTGTGCGACCCGAGAGTTGGTATAGTTGTATCACATGATTGGTCTTTGTAAGAGTGGGATAGAGAGAGCCCAACGTCGGTGAAAATAATTAATAGTTCTAAATTGAAATTCTTACTTGGAGGATACGTGACCAGGGTTGTCTTTTTTGGACTTCAATGTACGCTCTCTGACAATAATTACAATTGGCTGGGAACCAGAATAAAGATTGTCCTCCAGGTTTCAGCAACGCGTGAATGTTGCGTAACGCTGATCTGTGAAGGAATTCTCATTGATTAAAGAACTTAATCTTACTTGTGATAATTTGAATACATTTATCGCAAAACTTTTCAAAAATTAAGTCAGTTAAATCGAAAATCCCCGACTCTTTTTGAAAGAAAGTTCGTCGCAAAATATTACGTTTGCATTTCCTTTAGCCATGGAGCTTTCATGAAATTTGAGATATAAAATGCACTCTCTCATCGTTCATCTATTCATTTTCAAGTTTCCTTATTTTAGTTTCTATACATTCATGCTTTAAAAGAAGTCAGCGTGTCAAAAAAAGCGCTCTCATTCAGAATAAAAGGTAGGTATTGTAAGGAGACGCGACGCATCGATGACAGCAACGCACTAAATTATACAACTATTCGTGTTCGGGGAATGTCCGTGTAGTATGCACGAAAACTGAAGGCGCTCCGGCTATTATGCCCGAGTAACAATGCGTACAGCGCATTTTTGTGTTGAAACTGTAGTAGCGGCACAGGAAAACCGAAAAAAAAGCGGAGACGCTACTTCAATATTAAACTTCCATCGCTTTGCTAAGGCGCTGGGACACAACTATTTGAACTCTCCGGAAAGCGCGAGGTATCACGCTTCAATTGAGGGCGTTTTCGAATCTTCTGTATTTACATGACGAGATTTTCCAAATTTGTTTGCATTATATTGTCGATTTGAGTTCCTTTTATTATTTAGTTAAATTATTCCTACTTCTTAATTTTTAATTATTCTGGTAAAACTCTCTTTTCGCGAAATACAATCCTGGCTTTCGCGCCCTTAAACTCCGGCCGTATCGGTCAAAACTGTAGTGGCGGCACAGGAAAACCGAAAAACAACACGGGGACGCTACTTCAATATTAAACTTCCATCGCCTTGCTAAGGCGCTGGGATACAACTATTTGAACTCTCCGGAAAGCGCGAGGTATCACGCTTCAATTGAAGGCGATTTCGAATATTCTGCATTTACATGACGAGATTTTCCAAATTAATTGGATTAATTAATTAAGGCATTATACTGTATATATTAGTTCCTTTTATTATTTAGTTAAATTACTCCTGCTCTTTAATTTTTAATTATTGTGCAAAAATTACATTTTTGCGAAATACAATCCTGGCTTTAGCGCCCTTAAACTCCGGCCTTATCGGTCAAAACTACAGTAGCGACACAGGAAAACCGAAAAACAACGAGGACGCTACGTGAATATTAAACTTCCAGCGCCTTGCTAAGGCGCAGGGATGCAACTAATTGAACTCTTCGGAACGCGTGAGGTATCACGCTTCAATTGAAGGCGATTTCGAATCTCCTGTATTTACATGACGAGATTTTCCAAATTTTTTTGCATTATATTGTAGATTTGAGTTCCTTTATTATTTAGTTAAATTATTTCTGCTTCTTAATTTATAATTATTGTGCAAAAATTATCTGTTTGCGAAATACAATCCTGGCTTTAGCGCCCTTAAACTCCGGCCTTAACGGTCAATACTGCAGTAGCGGCATAGGAAAGCCAAAAAACAACGCGGGGACGCTACTTCAATCTTAGCTTCAATCGCCTTGCTAAGGCGCAGGGATACAACTATTTGAACTCTCCGGAACGCGAGAGGTACCGCGCTTCAATTGAAGGCGATTTCGAATCTTCTGTATTTACATGACGAGATTTTCCAAATTGTTTTGCATTATACTGTAGATTTGAGTTCCTTTTATTATTTAGTTAAATTACTCCTGCTACTTAATTTTTAATTTTTGTGCAAAAATTGTATGTTTGCGAAATACAATCTTGGCTTTAGCGCCCTCAAACTACGGCCTCAACGGTCAAAACTGCAGTAGTGGCAGACAGGGGCGCACTGGTAGTCGAAAAGTTAGGAGGAGACCTAAATGTAACGGCCTCTCTTGCCGTTCGGGGGCCCCTCTAAGAAGGTCCGGGGGCCCTCCCCCGGTAAATTTTGAAAATTTCACACTTTTTAAACTCGTAGGCACTATTGGAGTTGGATTCTACAGTACTTGAACTTCAAAATAACCCATTCTCAGTTTCATCGGGGGTCCCTTCATCACAAATGCTTTTGGCGACCTTCCATGTCTCTTAGATACAAATTTTAAAGGAATTCGGGGCCTTTTAGTGATTGAAAACGATAAGAAGATCACATCATTACGGGAAAAAAACGATGACTCGAAAACAATTCGGCGCGGGGGCCCCTTCGGGACCACCGCGGCAAATTGTTAGGGAGCGATCGCCTCCCCGCCCCTGCTTTCACCATCGATAAAGTGCTTTAGTATTGTTTAATTCACATTTGCACAGGCAGCGATTATGATTGTTCAGTCAGCAATTTTTTTTCTTATTAATTTCCTCACAAACATTCTCAGGTAGATTTGTTGCAGGCAATTATCAATCGCCGGCAAATTGCAATCTATTCGTGTTTAATCAACAAATTAAATCGTTTTAAAGTGGAAAAACGAGATTGGAAGTAGGGATTATTATGCTTTGAATAAACATACAGCAGCACACTCGCGAGTTCGTGAAATGTCATCAATAATCTGTGTTAGGTTCGGTTAAGCAACTAAACTAACTCCTTGGCAAAGCGGAGAGTATCGCTGGATTTGAAGGCGTAAAGAAATCTTTACTATATCGATATTATCGTAATTACAATTTGACGAATTGGCAAGTACGGAGCTTGCAAATTGCCGGCGATTGCTGACTCCCTGCGACTTACTGATAAAGATTTCAGAGATAATTATTTCCATCTTTAAGTTTACATGTACTTTTCTCTCATCTAATCAGCTTGTGTGTTTCTTTTTTGTTTCTGGTGCATCCCTCGGAATTCTTGGATTCAAAAATCGATAATTTTCCTGGACAACGCAAATCGTCAATTAAAAAATTGGGATCGCTCAATTAAACGGGACACTTGATTCACTTAAATGAATCTTTAAATTAACTGGAAACTCAAATTTACCACAAATCCTACTCAACCGAAAACCTGATCTAACTCTGCTAACCAAAACTTTACTCAACCGGTGATCTTACCCACCGGAAATTCAAATCAATCGACCAATCGTCCGGCCGAATTTTACTTAACCGGAAATCGACAACCGTAAACTCTGCTCGACCGGAAACGTGCTCCAATCGAAAACTTGACCCAACTGAAAATTCGATCCAACCTGAAATCTGACCCATCCCAAAATTCCAATTCACTGGAACCGTAATCCATCCGTATATGACGTGACCGGAAATTAACCCAACTGGAAACTATTTCCAACCGGTAACGTGTCCCTGTCGAAAATTTAACTCGACTGAAAAGATTCGATCGAAAATCTGACCGACCGGAAACCATAATCAATGGGATTCGTTATCCACCCGAAATTTCACTTGACCGGAAATAGAAAATCTTCATTTCTACTCGACCGGAAATGTGCCCCAATCGAAAACTTGACTCATGCCGCAATCACACGCTAAATTTAGCAGCTGAATGTGGAAGTCAACAGTCATCGCCCAACGGCTGAAATGTAGCAAATTCGAGTTATTTTCATCCAGATGTGTATCGAATCTACTCGAATAGTTCAAACAAATTCAAAATTGGTCGGATGGTTGCTGAGAATCGTTGCTGAAGTTTGCGCGTCACGCGCAAAATTCAGCAGTCATCGGGCCGACGACTTCCAAATTCAAGCCACATTCAGCTCCCACATTCAGCGTGTGATTGCGGCATCAACTGGAAATCGACCCAACCGGAAATGTGTTCCAACCCAAAATTTGGTTGTTCTCGGATGGAGAATAACCAATTTCAATACCAATATACCATTGATTTTCCTAAAAAATCGCAAAAATTCGATAAAAGCGATTGATATATCGACTCGTTAACGTTAAAAATCGATTCTGCAAGAAAACATAAGTAGGTGTCGGTGTACTACAGTCATATTAGGTGCATTTAGTCATCCATGAATCAAAAATGAACGATTTCAATCTCAAAAAATCGTCGGTTTTCCGTAAAGAATCTTAAAAAATCGTTATAACCATTCGATATACCGACTGGTCAACATTAAAACTCGATTTTGCGTGTAAAAATACGTAGGAACCGGTGTGTATAACATGTGTAAACAACGATAACAACCCCGTAGACACATCAATTCAACAAGAAAATAGCGAAAAATAAGGCCGGAGTTTGACCCCTTTGCCCCTCCCCCCCCCGGTAACTCAAAAACGGTTCCTATGCTCATTTTGAAATTTTTTCCTGAGTTTTTTGTTGTTATAAGCTTCCACTTAAACCTTGGTTCGATGGTCGAATCGAATACCGAAAAAGGGGCGAAATTTTGGGAGGCCCTTTCACGAGAAAACCAATGGAACCACTTATAGAACATCAAAGGCTTGTACAAACGGAGTTATAAGCGGTTAAAGTTTCCACATTCTGTCCGACCTCTCCTATTGACTCGCTCCAGTCTGCGTCGTATCGCAGAACGTCGTAACGTAAGAAACGTAACGATCGCCAGCGACGCGTAATGCGCGGCGCGGCGCGTCTTTCTTTGCGATAGATTGATTGATCCGTCATTTAAGCCTATGGGATTGAATCTTTAATAGGATGTATTTATGCTAAAAGGTACTATGTGCTAGTAGAAGGATGGGGTGTGCTTGTGGAGGCTGCCTAAGAAACGATGTAAAAGTGGGTACCTTTAGTTCCTTTTGATAAAATGGAAAAGCGGGATTTGGCATTAAATCAAAAGGAACTGAGCGCTAATTCGTGAGCCGTGGGCATGTGACAAAAGCGTTGCGGACAGGGCTCATGAGTTGAAGATAGGCGAGAACGATGACGGGGACGGCTTCGTTGCCGCTGACGTCACTGGCGCTTTAAAATCCCCACACACTCTCATGACCCTCAACTAACGAGCACACCCCATCTTTTCGCTCTTTCACATGGTTCCATTTAGCATAAATATGTCTATAGATTCTTGACGATAGCTTCAAATGGAGAAATTTCGAAAGTCGATCATTTACGCTTCGCAGCTGGTGTAATGACGCGTCGTGCACACATCATAGAGTACATAGAGTCGTAATGTAAATGGGCGTAATGTAAGAGCTGGCGCCATGTTCTGCTCGACGAATTCCGAGCCCGGTGTGCGCCGAGTTCGGGTCGCTTTTTCGATACATTTTCGATCCAAAATGGCGGTGTGGAATACGTGGTAATTCCTATCTCCTTAGTTGTTGTTGTTGTCATCGGATGGCCGGGTACCCGTGTATCGCAAACAATCGATTATGTATCGAAAAAGTGACCCGGCGTCAGACAGGAGTCTCGGAATTCGGGACATGGAAAATGCTTAAAAGTGGCGCCAGCTCTAACACTTACATTACGACTCTACGTACTCTATGCGTGCACCTAGCTTCAGCAGCAAGAATGACACGAATGTCTTCATCGTTTTGAATTTTCAACACGGTCACGGTCGCTCATACAGCTCGAAAAGTTGCCTATAGTCGTTATCCCAAAAGATTGAGCGCCTTCAATTTTGAACGGGAGAATATCCTTGGGGTACGAATAATTGCATTAAGGCGTCGACATTGAGAGCTAAACGAGCGCCTTCAGTTTTTCTGTATGCAACACGGACATCTACGGGAAAGGAATAGTTGCATTAAGGCGTTACTTTCACTGTTGCGTCGTATTTAGATATTTGTTGGCCGAGATTTTCGCTAAAAAAGCCTTTAAATTAACATTTTAAAGGTGTCGAATTTTCATTTTAAGCCACACTATCTTTTAAGCATGCTCTGGTTTCTTCACTTGCAAAAAATATGAGTCAAAAGTCAAAGGTCAAATCAGGCATTTTGTCAAATACTTGATAGAGTGGTCAAACATTGTGAGTAAGATCCGATTTTGGAAGTTCTTGCTACATTTTGAATAAATCATGCATTGAATTCGTACCTTATAGGATCCGTAATAATTTAGATATTTTAAAGCTGGGATACATATTCCTAGCGCTTAAATGAACATTAAGCTCATAACTTTATCGGATCTTATTAAATAAAAAGTATAAACAGTTTTGAAGAATGACAATGATTTGAGACATATCTATAACTGAGATACAGTTTACCATAATATGGTTTGATTTATTTTCCCTTGCAAAATACGGAAAACTCGAGTGACTGAAAGCTCCTAGTCTGAAATATACGACACTTTTTCAATCTTAAAAATTTGACCAACGGACTTTGCCAAGTGTCATGTTATTTTCATTCATCATTTTTTCATTCTGAATTAAACTTCTTCTTTTTTTCGTCAGTTTTAGTTTTTGTATTAGTGATTATCATCCCTGGTAAAAATTGGCGATAGGTGCTGCGTTTCAAAATACCATAGCAGTTCTTACAGCCGACTGAAGAGGGCGATAGAAAATCATGTAGCTGGCTGTAGAAAGTGGAAAAAATCATAAGGCCGGGCTACACGAAGCTATACAAAATTATACAGCCGGGCTATACTTCCTATCGCCGGGCTTTACACTTTATCGCCTGGCTGTTGCTTTTTTGCCATCGGCTATAAAAGGCTATAATAAATTGTGTAGAAATTCTTGCGCTTTGTAAATCCTTAAGTTTGTACGGAATCACCTTAATAATTACAAATCGCACATTATATTTTCCTTTACTACATTTTTTTTTTCATCAATTAAAATGAGAATAATCCATACAGAGTGTGCAAACATTTCAAAGTCATGAGTTAAAAAACGCTGACTCCGCGATATTAAATATTAGAGCCTAACACAAAGCGGAGCGGCGGCGCAATGGCGCCTACAAACCTAACAGGGATACTTCACGCATTGCGCAACGCGTGAAGTATCCCTGTTAGGTTTGTAGGCGCCAATGCGCGTTCAGCGCTGGCGGCCCGCCCGCCGCGCCGCGCCCCAGCGTACCGCGGCCGCGGCGCTTGAAGCAACTATTTCACACCAGAGGTATTGCATAGTATCATACGAAATTGAAGGCGCTCCAACGTATTAGGAATGGCAGGCATCCCTCAAAAGTACGGAGCTTTCCTCGCAAATTAAATCAAGATACTGCGGCCCAAAAAGAGAGCGGTAGTCCAAAAACTCACTAAGTCTTAGCATCCGTAATTAGTAACGTTTAGCATACACTTTATCGCCAGGCTGTTGCTTAATCTCCATCGGCTATTAAAGGGTATAAGAAATTGTGTTGCCGGCTATAGAAGCTATTGAAAATCTTACAGCCGGCTGTAGGTCTATGGTATTTTGGAACACAGATTCTACTGCCAATTTTTACTAGGGATTTAATATGTCAAAGGCAAAAAGGCAAATCAGGCATTTTATCAAATGCCGAGGCCGGTAGTCCGATTTTGACAGTTTACGGAATTCTGTAAAACGGTGAGAAGTTCACGGGTTTTCAATATTTTGGGAAGAATATCTCTTCAAATCCACGAACTCTCCTCCTTCCTTCCTTTTTACATGCCTTTAGCACATTTAAATGTTAAGCTCTTGAAAATTCTATATTTTTATGACGTTCTGAAAATTTCATGATTAATGTGCATCCAGGATCTTAAAATCGTTTAAAATACTATTGTATGCTGCATATTTTTAGAGAGAATTCTTTCTTACTGGAGCAACACAACAAATTATTTTGTCTAAAATTAGGGTAAAAAAACAACATTTCAATATAAGTAAGAATATTTGGATTACAGTTTGCAATAAGGAACCACTATCTCCGGCTTTTTCATAAAAGCACGTATCTGCATAGGGAAATCAATGGCATATATGTTGTTTCTAAAATGAGCCAGGAATAGTGGTTCCTTATTGCAAAATATAATCCATTTGACTATTTGCCTAGGCATTCGACAAAATGCCTGATTTGATATTTGCCTTCGACAAATACACCGATAAATTTCAGTTTCACATGGACTAATACCTTACTTGAGATCAGGAATCCAATTAAGGACGTAGAACGAGAAGATCTTGTCGAATCCGTCCTGGAGGCGGGGGTCCTGGGTGAGCTTGATGACGTCATCCTGGGCGAGGTCGAAGGTGTCGAAGATGAGCTTGGGGTGGGGGAAGTTCTTGTATCCGTGCTCCTTCATGGAGGGCGAGATGTCGACGCCGACGAGGTGCTTGACGGCGGCGTCCGGGAGGAACGGGAGGAGGACGTTGTGTGTGACGTCACCCGGTCCACAGCCCGCGTCTAGCACCACCTCGTCCTGCGACCATCGTAGCAGCGACTCGTGGTCCTGCAGTATAGCCTCTATGTCCCTGTATTTGGACCATGACATGTTGAACTGCATGTATGCATCCCCACTCTGCATTTTCAAACCCGGCGGGCCTGTGAATAGTCAATCATTCAATTAAGAGCACCTAGAGTTCCTTTATACTGAGAGTCAAGACAACACCCCTCATGGAGTCACAAACGGGAATAAAGATTACACAAATTGAACGTTTTTCGTAATCTTTGATCGGCTCATTCTTAAATTCCTTTCTCCGTTCCTTCTCTCATTCCGTTTGTTCCTTGTCGAACCCGAAATTCCTCGGTCCATTCCAGATTATAATCTTTGCAATTGGTGAAAATGTAATCTTTATTCCCGTTTGTGACACTGTGAAGGCCTAAAATCCGGTTAACCAATCAGAAATGGATTCGCATTGTCTTGACTCTCAGTGTAAAGGGACTCTAAGAGCACCTATACTGCCATTCTAAGGAATAACGTCGTATGCGCCTACAGACGTTGTCAAGTTTCCTCCGATAAATACCGAATTTACTTGGAAAATGTCGAATATTATTTCCCAAAATTTTCAGACACTCTAGTAGGCAATTTAATCTAAAGTATCTGAAAATTTCAAGAAAAAATATCAATATTTTCCATTTTCTTTTATAATTTAAAAAATAAATAAATAAATAAATATGATCCGAGTTTCTGAATCGTTACAATGAGGACACATATTTTCTCTTTAATTCTGTTTAAAACTAGATTAGAAAGTCAAGAATGATGACACGCACTTCTACAGCATTCCTACAGTCTTGCAGGCAGGCGCTAATATGCCTTCCACGCCAACTAATTGACTGCGGTGCGTTCGGCGCAATGCGAGAAGTATTCACGCCGTCTTGCAGGCGCTAATATGGGCTGTACGCCGACCGCACGGTTTGGCGCAATGCGTGAAGTATTCCTAAAGTCTTGCAGGCGCTAATATACGTTTAACGCCTGCCGCACTGTGTTTGACGCTATTATTTGAACTCGCGTTCGAATAATCGCGGCATCGAATAATAGAGCATAAAAGGCATATGTTATGCCGACGCCGCGCGCCGTATGCGCACACCAACGTTGCCTCGTTTCTTTCGATTAAATATTTTTTCCGAGAAAAGTTAGGATAGTCCGTTATGCTCTCGACCTTTATTAAATCTTTTCAACTCATTTATCACCAAAAGGCAAGACATCGATGACTTTTCAAAATGCGTTTATTTCCCAACTGTTTCCTGTTTTGCCAAAATTCTACCTTAAATTAACTTCATTTTAAATTCGCGCATTCCTGTAGCAGATGATAAGGTTTCTACTCGCGCAATCCTCATATATTTTCTTAGAATTTTCGCGCAATCCTGGATTACCGACAAGGCTCTAATGTCCTCTTTTTGGTGTTCCTTCTTAAATATGTTCTTCTTGACATCTTTGATATTTCTCAGCTCTGGCGAGGAAGCAAGATGATAAGCAGTGAGTCATTTCCCTGCTGATAATGACAAGTGAGAACAGGTAAAAAATTCTGGCGGTGTTTATTGGATCCCCTTTGCCATCAATGCCCACCAATAGTACTTAACAAAGTGAGTTCCACGTGTAAGGAAGGTAGAAAATTTGAAATGCAAAACAAACTGCATCCTATTTTAATTTTATAGCAATAAAGTTCAATAAGAGGAGCCAGAGCTCCTTCAATTAGAAAATAGACTACATACACTACACTCCGATTCATTAGCTATAATTTTACCGGAATTACAATCTTTGCTACTTATGAGCGGTGCGATTAAAAAGTCTAGCCGTATCAGTAAAAGCTATCTACACAATCAATTTTGGTCGATTCATGTGAGCATTATGGGTATCCAGCCGACACACAATAGAACAAGTCAATGGGAGAAGTCGGACAAAATTTTGAAACTTTGAAATCTCAAAACTCTATTATCTCAAAAGGAAGAGGTCTTAAAAGCGGTACCATTTGGTTTTCTCGTAAAATTTACCTGGGGAAGCACCTTTCAAACTTTAAAATCTTACGAAATAAACATCAAAATTTGCAGTTTTAGTCAAAAAATTCATGTCCAACCTCTCCGATAAACTCGATCCACTGTGCGACATCAGAGCAAACGTTGAATCTGCGATGTTTGATATCTTAGAAATCGATCACCGCACGCAGCAAATTGAAAAATGCAAAAATTCATTGCTCTATAGTTTCACACGATACAAAAATGCTTCTTGGCCTGAAACATCTTTTTTGGGAAATTTAAGAAAATATTACAGACGGAGTGCGCAGTTTCTTTAGTGATATCTCTCCAATGATGTGAGTAGTCGAGTTTCTGGTGTTGTATGTCGCCCAAAAACGAGAAGGCTTCTTTACAATTTATGGCAAAATTATAGAAGAAGGAAATTTGAAATCAGAGCTTACCTTTGAAAACAATTTGGCAAAATTTGGTGGCTTTTGGTACGACTTCCAATGTATTCAAAGTCTCGATACCTCACAGTAGTGAATCACAGACTCACTCATAGACTAAAAGTCTTGATATTGGGTGTGACACAAATTCCATGCGTTATTGCGTGTTGGCGATCACCGTCACATGTTCATATTGCGTGTGAGACACACCTACGCAATGCATTGCGAAGAACCAGGGGCACTCCCCCGTGCCGATACGCAGTACGACCTTTGGCGCAAAGTGGGTCGAGTCAATCGGAGAGGTCGGACATGAAATTGTTGACTAAAATTGCAAATTTTGACGTTTATTCTGTCACATTTTAAATTTTAAGGGGTGCTTCCAGTAGGTAATTCCAAGAGGAAACCAATGGAACCACTTTTAAAACCTCAAAATGTTGTATAAACGGAGTTATGAGCTTTTAAAGTCTCCAAATTTTGTCCGACCTCTCTCATTAACTCGATCCACTATGCGTCGGCGTCTAACGTAATCAGCGAGTAGGCGGCAAGCACCGATGTGAGCAAATATTTTTTTATCATACAGGGTGTGCGTTTTATGAACGGCCCATTAAGGCGTAAAATTGTATAATCCGGTAATTCTGTACCATGGACATGACAGATTAAAATTAGTAGCTTTTCTCGGAATACGAGTTTGAACTGCAAACTTCAAACATCTATGAATATGAATACGATAAGTCTATTTCAAGCGTTTCTTTTTGTCCCAGAATTCTTGTAGATTACTCCTCTATGATCTGATATCAGTCTCTTAATCTTGAATTTTGGTATAGAGTGTAGTATCTTTTTTCCTTGGACGGTCAAATATCGATGGCTAAAATCAAAAAGTGCGTATCTCTAACATTGCAACGTCTGAAACTCTGACTATGTTCCTTTTTTATTATATTAAAGAAGAGGATTTTGTGGTTTTCAAGAAAAATCGTCGCTTAATCCGCTTTTTTAAAAAAAAGCCTGGGTGGAAGTTTGCAACGTCGTCATTAGAGATGTACCTATGTACGTACTTTTTGACTTCCGCCATCAATATGTCGTTTGCTTTTCGCAGCGTTCACGAAAAATTCATCGATCTGAAATCGTTTTTTGCAGAACGTATTCTGTAACGCATGTATTAGGTTGTGCAGACGCTTTTCACTGTCATTCACTAACCAGTGGCGTGGCGTGTTTTGCGATATATCGATTGATCCGCTCCTTGAACCTATGGAAAAGGATCGATAAACAGAGTGTTCACAACGAATACATCAATAATCGATTCTTTACCATAGCTTCAAATGGAGGAATATCGATAATCGATCATTCACGCCACGCCACTGTCACTAACCGTTCTCAAGGTATAATAGTAGATGGTTTTGACTACTATATTATGGCTACTTTGCTCTCTTTTCTTCCTTGTTTTTTTACGTACGACTGTTTTGACCTTGATGAAAATTTTCACGGGCTTGCGTATCTGAAAAAAAGCACTTCGTTTGGAAGGTTATTGTCGGGCATGCACGCGCAAGATGGAAAAAACGTGGCAAGGATTAAATTGTCTCACAGTGAAAGTCAAGTATTAATGAATCATGTTGATGCTTCAGAGATAATTTTAAAAAGCTTTTAAGTAAAGATGAGATGGAGCGCTTTTCCAAACATACACTTAAAAGAAATGAGAAAAAGAGGTACTTAATCATCTAAACTGCTTTGAAATATTCCGAATGTCTCTAAAGTGTGTACCAAAGAAACCGCGTTCAGGGGTCTAGACTATCTCCTTTTCGCTAAAAGCGGTCTACTTGGAGAGAGTTTCAAATCGCAAAAGATTTTGCAAAGTTGCATTTAGACCTAAAAATGAAGCTTACAAAACTTGAGAGCCGCATGACCGCTAATTTTGTTTGATGTGTTTAATTATTACAAGTTTACAAGCAACATATCGATGACAAAAAGTGCAAAACCGCACGTATTTACATTAAGTATGGCATTTCAAAAACTCCGCTCTCATTTTATTTTTTTTGAAGAGAAACATGTCAACTATATAGCTTGAACTTCTTACAGAATTATTCTGCTAACATAGAAGGAAAATCAAGGAAGTTCTTAAGACTATAACTTGACCAGGTTTCTGGAGAAAAAGTGTGAGAGCAAGTCTATGGCATGACGTTGCAAACGGAGATAGGTACGTGATTTTGAACTTTGGCCATGGATATCTGACGACAACCAGTTCTTTCTAAAAGTCTGATGATTTTTTGGTAACAATGAAATGAAAATTGAAAGCCCCAGGCCCCTACACTGAAAAAAAATTCTCAGCGTTTTTACCACGGTCCGTTGGTACCTTTACCATCCCAATTTTTTTTACCAATTATTGGTAATTTTACCAAGACAGACCGGTAAGCTTACTTAAAACCCGGTATTTTTACTGTTTTTTCAGGTAAGAATACCACTTTCATTGGTAATCAATTCCCGGTAACTTTGCCATTTTATCTCGGTAATTCTACCACAGTCGATATAAAATATTGGCGTTTTTACCAAGGTCCAGTAAAATTACCGAGAAAGTTCAATAATTTTACCGAGATGTCTCGGTAAAATTACCAATTCCATAAATGGTAATTTTACCAAGAAAAAACTGGGATCAAATAGAACCCTGAATTCTTGGTAATTTTACCCTTTGCTTAGTAAATTCACCGAGATTTTTTTTTTCAGTGTAGCTCCTGTGCATTCACCGACTTTTAAGCTGAACGCATCCGGCATCCCTCTTTATAGGGTGACTGCGTTTCCCTCGTAAGTCACTCTCTCGGTCTGAAGGGAATTAAGTATTCGAAAACGCTAAGATAAAAGCTGTTAAACCCTGTTCGACGTAGAACCTAGACGCAGTATCCAAAGCGGGAAGGGGGCTTTCCTCGTCAAAATATTATTTGGTCAATTCCAAAAGTATTTCGAAGAGAGCAAATTGAACATTTTCATGAGAACACTACAAAAATATTCTAAAATATCAGGCCAAAACAGTTTGTTTCAAATCTTAATGTTGCCAATTGCAGATTTTTTGGAATCATTATTTAAATACTTTGCTCTGACTGGAAAATCGCCACACAGTGGATCGAGTCAATTAGAGAGGTCGGACATGAAATTTTTGACTAAAACTGCGAATTCTGATGTTTATTTCGTCACATATTAAATTTAAAGGGGTGCCCTTAAAAGAAAGTTTTACGAGGAAACCAAGGGAACCACTTTTAGACCCTCAAAATTTAGGATGGAGGAATTTAAATGGAGTTGTAAGTTTTTAAATTTTCCAAATTTTGTCCGACCTTTCCTATTGGTTCGATCCACAGTGCACCGTTGGAAGTAGATACATGAGAATTTCATATGTACCAATAAAACACGTGCCGAAGGTCTTAGGTGGATTTATTTCAGAGTATAACAGAACATCGAGATATCGAACAAATTTTGATAAACTACGGGTTCCGTTTAAATTTTTGTGGCAAAAACGAATTTAGCCATCAACCCCAGGGAAGCATAGCGACGATGAATGATCAGACCAGGCCGGATTAAGGGGGTGGCCACATGGGCCGCGGCCCATGGCGGCAAAATTTTGGGGGCGGCAAATTTTGCAATCTTTTTGAATGTAGGTATCAACAAATGAAAGAAAACAATCGGATTCAGAAAATAAAGTAGAAACGAGAAAAGGCGACAAAATCTCTCATTTCCTGAGAGAAAAAGTATAATAATTTCTAATTTTGTCGTCTTTCGGTGATACAAGAGACAACACGTTTAATTAGTCGAGTTAAGAGAGAAACCAAACACGTAATTTGACCTGGAAGGGAGCGGCGCGGCGCGGTCGGCATGAAAATCATAGCGCCTGCAAGACTGCATGAATACTTCACGCATTGCGTCAAACACACTGCGGCCAGCAGCAGTCGGCGTCTAACGCATAGAGCCTACAAGACTACATGAATACTTCACGCATTGCGTGACAGTGTTGTGACCAAACAGTGTGGTCACTAGCGATCGCCGTGAAACGCATAGAGCCTACAAGACTGCATGAATACCTCACGCATTACGCCAACACAGTGCGGTCGGCTCGGCGGTGGAAGTAAAAATTTTTAACCACATTAATGTTTGTTCTTTCATAATTTTTTCATTCTTTTTTATAAATGGAAGGCCTTGTCCAAACAGGGATGGGTTTAGGGAACTGAACTTTTATTAGTGTTGACAGGGCTTTTACAAAAAATGTGCCCAACACGAGTAAACGCGTCTTATATACCCCTCCCCCACCGGCACGTTCACTTGATGGTTTGTATAGATCGTATTCGACAGATCACACAGGTGAGATTATATTGATATCGATTGGTTCGATATGTATAACCAAAGCCTCAAAAGTCAATTTAGAAATTTGAGGTAACGGGTCTTATGTGATCGAATTTTTATTCTCTCGAATACCAAATGGCAATGAAAAGTGAAATGGTAAGGAATGTTCTCATTTTCAGCTTTTCCAAATTTAATCCTAAAATTTGTGTTTGAGGTTATGTTCTATTGTTTTGAACCAAACGATACATCGAACCACTGTCGAATATATCTATCTATTGATGTTTGAAAACAAATGAGAAGAGGGTGGAAAAATACAGGCGGCCCAAGGGCCGGCATGTAGGTAAATCCGGCCCTGGATCAGACCAGATATCTCGTTTGCGGCTTTTAAAAATCCATTATTTTTTTGAAGAAGAACAAATCAATATCATAATTCATAGTCTTCATAGGGGTTTCTTCGCACAAAGAAGAAAAATCACGTAAGTTTTTAGGAATTGACGTTGAGTATTTTTCCATTTAAACATAAAATATGACAGGAAGTCTGCAACGTTGCAAACCGAGATATTGACGGTGAAACTACCAAACCACGTATCTCGTTTGCGGTGTTTAAAAATCTACGCTCGCATTTTATTTTTTTTAAGTAGACCAAATCAATATCATTCCTTGAAATTTTTACAGAATTTTTTCCGCATGAAGAGGAAAAATCACAGAAATTTTCAAGACTGGACGTCAAGTAGTTTTTCATTTAAAAAATGAAGTATGACAGGAAGTCCGCGACGTCGCAAACCGAGATACGT